CAATTTTATAGAAATATGTTTGTTTGAGAAAAACATTGTATTATTTTACTATTTTTATACAATTATATAGAAATAGTAAAATAATACAATGTTTTTCTCAGACAAACAGCTAGATGCTGCTAGGTGCGGGTCAGTCGGATCTCTGAAATTGTTTCTCCATCCTCATATGTGGTGCCAGCTTTGCCAACAAGAGCTGAAACTGCCCCACTGACATCCTGAAATATGTATGAAAATATATATACGACTGTTAGCCTGAGTTACTGCTGTGCGATAGATTCATTTATGGCTGCCAAAATGGCACATTAATGATGGCTTGCCCTCATTAGAGTGCCCATGTGAATTCTGTTTCAAAGTTTTTTTTCCTTTCAAGTTTGAAAGGCAATGCATTCCTACACCTCAGCCCACTTTTGCTCCCTCTGTCCTGCATTTTTTCCCTCTCCTCCTTTTTTGTCTTCAGTCAGTTCTTAAGTCACACGCAGTGCCGCATATACATTCATCTTTATTATTCACCCACCCAACCACCTCTCCCTTATCTCCTTATTTTATTATTATTATTAATTATTTTTCTATTTTCAAACCCTTTGTCTTCCTCTCAATTTGCTTTCAACACTGTCCTGGTCTCTCTCTCTCCACGGCCTCTCCGTGGTAATCATTAGCGCTGCCATCATGCTGAAGGAATTTGTCAGTCTGTTTTCCTCCCATTTCTTGACATTTATGACTCCATGTACCAAATTTATGGATAATTTGGCTCACTCAAAATCTATCAGATAAAGGGCCTGGCGGGAGGGGGGTTATTTTCCATAATGGGTGACCGTGCTGCCCCAAAAATCTCAATCTCTGGGCTGAGTTAGTGATTCATGCCACCATTGAGCAGAGCCGACAGCTAAGTGACTTGCTGGCTGAGGACTGTTCATCCACCTCACTACAAGGACGGGAGGTATTGAAAAGAGAGAGCCTCAACCGTTCTTAACAAAGCAGTCTAGAATTCAACCAAACAAAGTGTTCACTGGTTCTTGCACTTTATATTTTTATTCATGGACAATGATTTATATAACCTGAACTGATTCTTTTTTTTTTCAATTCTTGTGTGTTTGCTTCAGCAAATAAACAAGACATCACAATAGCAGCTAAAAGCATTCCTAGGTAAACATCAGTGTGTCAGCATTGTTGCTTTGAATGGGTTAGTCTTCAGCTCACTAAACAGCTAGCATGACTATGTATTCTAAAATAAAATACTGTCGGTGTGAATTTGACCTGGAGTGCCGCACT